TTGGTGTCAAACGAGTCGCGAGTATTAATCGTAAGCCACGGAGGAGTGACGCGAGAGATCATGAGATTCATTCACAATGGACTCAAATGTGACTTCAAGGGACAGACGCCTAACATAATCACTCCAAACACTTCCGTCAGTCAATTCAAACTGTTTTATACCAATAATAAACTCATTTCCGGTGAATGTCTTAAAGTCCACGACATCTCACACTTAAGCGGCGATTGCAAGACATTAGCTCTCAGTGAGGAACAGATCAATGATTCCAACATTTTTGGACAACAAGAAGCTCTTTGATTAGCCACATTTATGAATGAAATTTAAGATTTTATGATTTGTTAAAAATTATATATTTAATAATTATAAATTTATTTTATAACTTGTTTAACAATAAAGTTAAATTCTTATGAAATTCTAATATATTGAGTCATTGATTATAATTTTGATGAATATGTCTCCATTTCAATGACATTATCTGCTGCCAAATGGTTGATCTCATTCTCAGAATAACCCAATTCTAAGAGCACTTCTTTGGTGACAACATTATCGCCGGAATCTTCGTTAGGAAGGGCTGGCGTTCGTGAAAGTATTGGCGACGGCTTAGGCGTCCCATCGCTGAAGAAGGACTCTCTGCTCTTATTGTGTGGGAAGTGATGGACTGAATGAAAGTCGAGGACAGGAGTGACACAGGCGTCCACTCCTTCGAACACTTGAGTCCATTCTGTTTGCGTTTTTGTAGCAAAAGTTTCACTCAATTTGTCAGTCAATTCACTCCATTGGTTGATATCATATCTGTTGTACTGATCCAAATCCAACCCAATGGTAGACATCAATAGGTCGTAAAACTGTGGCTCAAGAGCGCCGACAGCTATGTATTTGTCATCTTTGGTGCGATAGCACCTATAGAAAGGCGCCCCTCCGTCCAGTAAATTACTGGCCCTCTGTTGCTGTTGTGGCCAAAGTAGGTCTCGAATCGGGGAATTGGCGGACATTGAGTGCCAAATATATTGGGAAACATAAGCTGATCCTTCGGTGATATTAGCGTCAATCACTTGTCCCATTCCTGAACGAGTCCGCTCGAGAAGAGCCAAACAAATACCAAAAGCGCAAAGAAGTCCACCGCCTCTCAGACCAAATCAATTAAATGTTGTTTTAATGGTTCAAAACAATTGAATATAAATTATGGTTAAAGACCTGCAAAGTCTCCCAAAATATTAATGGGAGGCGACGGCGTGTCCTTTGGGCCTAATTTTGACAGAATGCCAGCGATGGCCAAGTAGTTGATGTCATGACCGGCTCTTTTAGCCAATGACCCGCTCTGACCATAACCTGTCATCCGCGCGTATATTAGCTTTTCATTGGTTGCCATCAGATCTTTTGGACCCAAACTTAACGCTTCCATAACTCCGGGTCTGAAGGGCTCTATCACTACATCCGCCGATTCACTCAATTTCTTCATAATTTCTTTGCCTTTACTTGACTTCAAATCAATGAAAATGGATTTTTTGCCTCTTTTTAGGCAATCCGGTTGTCTGTTATGGGGCTGTTGTCACAGATTATGTCAGTTAATGTCAACTATGTTCAAGTGATTCAATACCCGATCGATCCGAAGAACTTGAGCGCCAAAGTCACTGAGAAGTAGCCCACAAAAAGGTGCCGGCGCTAAGCCAACCAGTTCCAACACCTTGGTCCCTTTCAGCGCCATTTATATTAACAATTGCTGAGACTTTTTCTAAATTGACTTCACATTAAAAAGTTTTAACAACTTTTGCAAACTATTTACTCCGGCGCTAAGCCAACCAGTTCCAACACCTTGGTCCCTTTCAGCGCCATTTATATTAACAATTGCTGAGACTTTTTCTAAATTGACTTCACATTAAAAAGTTTTAACAACTTTTGCAAACTATTTACTAATATTTAACTAGAATTATTTAAAATGATATTGATCACTTTTGATTGTTTACTAAAAACAACTACAGTAAACTGTGTTTTCAAATACAGTAATGTTAAAAATATTATTTTACACTAACTCTAATCACAATCATAACATTTGATTATATATTAAATTAAAGTCCAAAGTTAAGGAAATAATAAGTTTTATGAAACCCATTTTGTTAACAACTGTGTACTCACCAAATGGATATTATTGCCAATGTCATTTTAACAGTACTACTGACGTTTCCTTGAAATTACAACATTTTGTTCTCATGTAAAACATGCATCAGATTGTGTCAAATAAAGTATGCATGACACAAAGGCAAGTTTTTACTATTACAGTACAATTATTTCAATTATTTTGAAAGCTTTGTAATTTGAAAGCTTTTTGATTGGCGTGAAACTTATCTTTTTGGGAAAATTACTAACCATTTAATATTATTGATAATAATAGTCGCATTTAGATAAGTTATAGCCATAATATAAACGGTGAAACAAAATAATTAAATTTACTTATTTGCGAGTTCAATTTCAAGTGAAGAATCTACTGTACTCAGTTCAAGTTCATTCAAACAGAGAATCCAATAGTTTGTTCCTAGATACAAAACACTTTAATATTTGATCACAATTTAAAATTCTTTTTATTTATGACAATTATCATCAAAACAAAATACAATTTTATGTCATAATACAAAAATAATTATGGGTAACATAACTATAAATAAATAAATCATTCACAACGTTAGATAAATTATAAATGTAATAAAATTGGCAATCGATTGGTATCTACCATAATATCTACCATAATATCTACCATAATATCTACCATAATATCTACCATAATATCTACCAGTTCACATTAATTAAGTTCTTAGTCTTGGGAACGGCTTTAAAAACGGCGTAAAGTCTGGCGTTATCTTCGTTTGGAAAGTATTTGTCGTATAAATCAATAGTAAGTTTGTGGTGACAATCGACTGGAAGAGATGTGATGGGAATTGATTTGAACAACTTCTCTACCCTTTCAAGTATCGGGTCATCCACTGAGTCTGGCCTTAGCTGAGCGCCGCCATTGAGACAACCGGATGGACAGGCCATCACTTCGGCGTATTGATAGTGACAGGTCTTGCGTTTAATCCTTTGGACTAATGTCTGTATATTTCGAAAGCCATTAATAACAGCAAATGACAACAATTTATTTCCGGACTCGTCCTCAAGAGCTAATTCAATGAAGTCTTTATTTCGCAACACTTTATAATCCAATTGTTGTCCACTTTCGTAATAACTATCGAAATACTTTGCGGCCATAAATCGGAATACGTTTTCCACATAACCTCCAGAGCCTGAACCCAAATGTGAACTCAAATGACCGCCACTCGAGTCACCAGTGATTGAATCCAAGGGGCTGTCGCTTAGTTCAGAAAGAATGACATTCTCTTTGCTGAGCATTACGTCGATCTCAATGGGAGTCAAAACGACGTCCACTTCTTTCACGTGATGGTCACTGAGTTCACAGAATTCTGAATCACTTCTCGTGGCCTCCAGTTTCTTATCATAACAGGGCATAAGAGTCACGTGAAATGCATTATTGGTGTCCATCTGTTTTTCCTTAAGAAAGCGTTTGACGAGAATTCCCATAATCTGTTGGCCGGACTTGACTCGACTGAGGAGCGGCACAATGAGCTCTCCATGCGTTTTCTCGGCATAGCAGACAAATCCGGGACAAACAGAGGAGAGCACAGGAAATTGGCTTTTGTCGAAGCGCTCCATAAACTCCTTCTGTGACTCAATCAGAGAGAAGTGTTCGGCAAGACTTGTGTCAAAAACATAGTCCACTCCTATATTGTGGAAGAATGTGGAGATCTTTTGAGCGGCGCTTTCCATCTCTAATTGGTTTTTAGCGGCAATCGATGCGATGCTTTGCAACGACATCGACATCACAATCGGGCGCTTCTTTGCCGGGTTATTCTGTTTCATAAATTATCAAAACAACCAAACAATGAATAAATCTAAAAAACACTTTTATAAACTTAATTACTTTATTGAAATCAATAATTTTATAAACTTCTTCGTGTGACTGCTGTTCAATGAGCACCGTTTCCGCCGAAGTGATACATCCACTGCACGCCAAACAGTCGCCCAAAGATATCTCCACTTTTGTCTTCACATTCTTCTTCTCTTTCGACCTCTCGATTGGTTTAATGCACGCCTGGAAGCGATAAAATAAAATAGAGATTAATTTCATCAATTCAATCAACTAAATCTCACCAGAAGTTAGTATAAACATAGGAATGGCTGACTCTAACTCATAATCACTATCTACGAGAACGTCTCTTAAGCGAAGTTTTGAATCAAAATTTATAGTTTCATTGGTTTTGCAGCTCTTATAGCTCACTATTATATCGTTTGGTCTATATTTGTGTTTTGCGTCCCATTCGGCAAACTCTTCAAACATGACATTCAAGTGTTGCAAAAAAGTATCGTTTTCTGCAAACTTCTCAATGAAGTCTGACTGTCCGTATTCGGGATATATGAACAAAACGGGCCAAACCAGACCTCCAGACTCATCGAGGGTCACATGCTTTCCATGGGCCGCCGGATGTATTGACTCAAACAAAGAACTCTTCAATTTAATGCCTCTCGAGTTAACAACACTTAAAATCTTCTCTTCGGTTCGCTTTTGTTTAAGTCTTTGGGTTTTGTTTTTCCTTTCATTTCTCTCCGCTATTTTCGCTTCAATGGACGCCTTCTTCTCGTATTCGGACAACACATCGATATTCTTGTGGCCATTGTCTCGACAAACCTCCAAACACTTTGAGTACTCTTTTAGCTCGAAATGACACAAAA